GGTTAAGGGCACTAGACTCCCACATGGCTGACTGTGGTTTGAGTCCTGGACCTGGCAGCTTGCTTTCTCACTTTCCCTATCTCTCTCTCTCTCTCTCACTCTGCCCCTTTCTGTCAAATTAAAACAAAAAAATAAACAAATAAAGTTAAACAAAATAATTCTTTAAAAAAGAAGAAGAGGAGCCTGTCTGGGGTGGAGGGCCCATTACTCCTGGACCTTGATTGCCTTTGAGATTTCCAAGGATGGATGGTGGCATGATGGTCGTACAGTGCTCTGCAAGGCTGACCCACATGGAGAGGTTCTGGGCTTGTGTCCAGAGACCTCCCTGAGTCACCAGACACACACATGCTCCAGGACTGGCTGAGACTGGGGTGGATCGCAGTGTCAATACTCTGCTGGGTGTGCCATCTCTCTGCCTCTGCCTCTGTCTCTGTCTCTGTCTCTCTCTCTCTCTCTGGCTCTGTCTCTTGAGCTCCTTCTCTTTCTCTCTAGGGAGAAAGAAAGAAATAAACTTGGGCCAGCTGGTGGCATGGTGGTTAAGGTGGATATTAAGACAGATCCCACGTGGTCAACTGTGCAGTTCGAGTCCTAGACCCACCAGTCTGAAAAACAAACTGGGTGCATGTGCATGTGTGCCCAAAATCCTGACAGAAGGAAGAATGGAGGAAGGGGGATTGAGGCCTCGCCATCCCCCCAGGGAGTGCTTTCTCATTTCCTCTTTCTTTTTCTCTGTCTCTCTTTAATGAGCACATGTGCCCACTGGCAAATTAAAAATAAATAAATAAATTTGAAAGACAAAAGAAGTGATCTCCTCGTGGGGAGAGTAAATAGGAAGTTGAACGAGCAAACACGTCTGGAAGCTCACAGGCAAGTGAGGGGTAGGCAGGGACTGTGGGCAAAAGCCTCAGCCCCACGGCTGTTGAAGGTTTTAGGAAGAATGGCATATTGACATCACGTGATGATGTCAAGAGAAGGGGAGGCAGGGGACCCCTAGAAAAGCCATCGGAATTGGGGGCCAGTGCCAGAGTAGACTCACCAGATCCAGGGCAGCAGGGGTTAAGTGCAGAAAAAGCCAGAAGAGAATGAGGAAGGCTGTTAGCTATCACTTCAGCAGGCCTGACAGGAGAGCGGTGGCGTGGCTATGGGAGACAGCTGTTCCTTAAAAGCCAGATGTAAATGGAATTTCTATAAATCTAATCCTATTCTTCACGCACTGGAAGAACTCTCTCTTTAATGAAACCGAAACGATGAGCCTTTTGGTGAGGGAAGTAAGCGCCTTGTAATTGAGGTGTGTGTACAGAGGGGTCCCCCAAGGAATAGAGCATGAATTCAAGAAACGACAGCACACTCCGTGGATCAGAACATGGCGCTGTGTCCTTCTCAGGATGTGAGAACTCAAACCAGCACCCTAGAGAAAAGAAGGCAGATATAACAATGGTCCTAAACGGTGTCGATTTGGGCCCCTGCGCTCCCCACCCCCAGTGCTTCAGGCCTGCCCGCCTGTTTGTATATTTGCATATTCATCGTCTATCCGTTCTTCAGCTTTTTTCATTGAGGGTCTTCTGGATGTCAACAGTTGCACAACGGGACTTTGAAAACTGAAAAATGGAATTAAAGGAGCTTATTTTTGGTGCAAGAAATCTACGTGAAATCCATACGTAGTTTTTCCATAATAACCATTTTCCTTGAAATTATAAACAAAGCTTATTGGGCCAGCTGGTGGTGTAGAGGTAAGGTGCTAGATCTCACATGGTCGATTGCATGGTTCAAGTCCCAGACCCAGTGGCTTGAAAATCTCACTGGGTGCTTGTGCAAGGGTGCCCAAAATTTAGAGGAGACTGGAGGAGAGGGGGTTGTGGCATGACCCTCCCCTCTGAGGAGTGATTTCTCACTTTACCTCTCTGTTTTTGGTGAGCACGTGTGCCTTATACCAAAAACTAAAATAGAAGAAGAAGAAGAAGAAGAAGGAGAAGGAGAAGGAGAAGGAGAAGAAGAAGAAGGAGAAGAAGAAGAAGAAAGTGTTTGTATTCCACGAGTGAAAAAGAGCCGGAGACCCAGAATCCACAAGAGAGTCTTGGTGCTGTGATCCACGCCCAGCCTCAGCCCTGGATCACAGATAACGCATACTGAGAGTGCTCAGGGAGGTCTCTGGATCTGAACCCCCAACCTTCCCATGTGAGATCGTCTCACAGAGCATTTTACTGCTGTGCCACTGTCCAGGCCCCTCCATGAGCTTTTTAAAGACCCTTCCTGTAAGATTTGGGGAACGAGCCAAGGGAAAAAACTCAGTCCTTGCCCTCATGAATCTGCAGTCTTGTAGGGAGACATGCTTGTCGGATAACTATAGTATGGCTTGTCGACCCCATGCATTAGGGGCGGTAAGAGCCTTGCAGGAGTAGTCCCCATGTTTGCCAAAGAAATGGGTGCAGGTGGGGTGGGGCTTGGCGAAGGCAACAGTTGAGCTGAGACTTGGAAAGTAAGAGTTTGTTTGGCAAACAACTTGGGGAGGACATTCCAGATGGAGGGACCAGCCTGGGCAAAGGCTTAGAAAAGAGGGTGCTGGGACCTTCACATAGTTCAGAATGTGGAAAGGTGGAGAGTAGGTGAGAGACGAGACTGGGGACTGGGGGAGCAACTTGGTATTTTGTGACAGTCTCTGAATGTTACCACACAGGCAATAGGGAGCCACTGAAGGATTCAGAGCAAGGGGTGACATGGGCAGGTTTGCAACGTTTGATCCGTGTTCAGGGTGGAGCACAGATTGGGTGGAACCAGGAGGCTGCTGCAACAATCAGGGTGAGAGGCAGGGAGGCCCCAGCCCAGGAGAGTAGCAGCAAGGATGGGGAGATGCAGACAGCACGCCCACCTTGCAGGCAGAGGAGTCTGCGGGGCCTGGGGACTGGTTAGCAGGGGAAGGGAGCGGTCAGGGAAAGTCTGAGAGTCCAGGTCAGGGCCTCCTCCCTTGGAGTCTGCAGGGGTCCTGAACCTGACGGTGGCAATTTACATCTGTGCTTCTCTAGCTTGTAACCGTGGTCTGACATTTCCGTCACCAGATCACAGTGGTGGGGAAGGACCCATGGCCTTCCCTCCAGTGCAATCCATCCTTTGCCAGGCCCTCATGGCTGCGAGACTGAAACACAGCCCTTCCTGAACGTAACGATCCGTAGGACTTCTGC